AAGGTCAGTAGTTCAGCAGTTCGAGACCCGGGTGCCGCATGATGGCGTGAGCTCCCATCTCTAGTTCCAGCTCCTGCCAACCTAGCAGTTCAAAAGCAAGAAATTGCAAGTAGATAAATAGGTACCACTTCGGTGGGAAGGTAACAGAGTTCCGTGTGCCTTGGTGTTTAGTCATGCCGGCCACATGACCACGGAAACATCTTCGGACAGCGCTGACTCTTCGGCTTTGAAACGGAGATGAGCACTGCAACCCTAGAGTCGGATTCAACTGGCTTTCGAGCAAGGGAACCTTTACCCTTTACTCCCATGCACTCTTGGAAACCCCGCCCCCAGGAATTCAACATGACAAGTGAAGGGGAAGGAAAGAAGAACTTAAGGAAATGAAAGTTAAGCCTGAGCTTGACAGGCATCTTAACTCCAGAACTGTCTTTCTGTAGTAGAAAAGAGCAAGAGTCCAGTAGCACCTTAAAGACTAACAAAATTTGTGGCAGGGTATGACCTTTCATGAGTCATAGATACCTGAAGAAGTGAGCAGTGACTCATGAAAGCTCCTACCCTGCCATAAATTTTGTTAGTCTTTAAGATGCTACTGGACTCTTGTCCTTTTCTGCTGCTACAGACAGACTAACATGGCTACCCATCTTGATCTGTCTTTCTGCAGACATCCACCTGACTAGGTTAGTAAGTCTTAGTGGCTAGGCAAAAAATATTCTCCAAGGCATTTGTGGACAATTAATTGTTAGCCTGGAACAGCTTCAGTTATTCTGGCTGCTTTAGCAGGTGTCCTTTTGTGTGTGTGTGTGTGACTTTTTATCTGATTTTTAGCTGCTTCCTACATGGTTTTATTGCTCCACTTTTAAAATTCATGTATTTGTTATGCCAACTTTATAGCTGATTTCATGTTTTCGCTTTAAGTCATATAATTGTTTTGCTCTTAGATGCTGCCTTGGAAGTTTTTACCTCAGAGTGGACGATAAAAATATTTAATTAGTACATAAATACCACCAGAATGCTGTTGGCCTTTTTACTGTTGCGTAAAAGCTGCTCCAGAAAAGAGCAAGATGGAATTTACATGAAGGGCTCTAGAGATGTGTGTGTGTGCATTTGGTACACCTGCACGAACAAACTGAGGTGTGTACAAGGCTAACTACAAACGACTAGCAGATCTGTGCAAACAGGGAGGCCAGCAAAGAATTCAAATACATCTAGCTTTTGTAGACCCATTTACAAGGATGTTAAGATAAAGTCTGTTTGCGTCAATCTCCTTTTCCAGGGTCACATGTGCTAAAGAGAAGGGCCACTTCCGCCAGTCTCTTTTTCCAAGGTCAGACATTCCAAAGAGAACGGCCGTTTTCCCACAAGGAGGATTCTGTGTCCACCCTCTCTTAGATCCCAGAAGCCAAAGAGGAAAGATTTTCCTGGTGGGCGAATATAAAAGACCCCCTCATACTGACTTAGTCCATCTAGCCCAATACAGGCTGCGGCTCCCCAAAGACTTCCACAGAAAACCTTTAACTAGAGATGCCAGAGACTGAGCCTGGGACCTTCTGCGTGCAAAGTCTGCACTCCACCAGTGAACCTGCTCCTGGCAGGGTGAAACCATGGAATGATGTTTCCCATGCACTACAGACAAAGACCAAACACAGCACTTGCTTGTGCTTATCCCACAGCACTTCCACAGAAGGGCAACCACCTGACTGTAAAGAAATGCACATTGTGGGGTTTTGTTACAGAGCTAAACACTCTTAGAACTGCAAAAGAAAAGACAGTATTCAAACGATGGGCCAAAGGAAACACACTTTCCCTAGGAAGCTGGGAATCAGCACTGCCATCTTGTTTCAGAACCTCAAGATGCCTTAAACACACTCACCCCCTGCCAAGTGGCTTTGATCCTGCCTTGCTTGCTGTATACAGCAAGGGTCACTGGGGGAGGAAGTAGCTGTGAATTTCCTGCATTGTGCAGGGGGCTGGACTAGATGAACCTTGGGATCCCTGCCAGCTTTGTATCTCTGTGTAGACCCTGCCCCAGGCAGTATTTACTGGTGACAATGACCCTGCTCTATCTTGGGGCTCTTACACTCGAGACAAAGGAAGTTAAAGGACTGTGAGAGTGTCGTGATCATAGGACAGAAAACAAACCCTACTCTGAGCTGGTCTTGTGACAGCTCACTTGGCAGAGAGGCAAACCAAGAACCTGCCACACACAGGGCACCGCTGGAGGAGAGACGCTCCCGTCAGCCAACCGGGTTCCACGACAGAGTGTGGCACACTAGGCCTGCTTCCATCCGGCCGCTTTCAAGCCACCAAGCAACCAAAGCCTTTGCCCCACAGCACAAGCTTGCAGCCCCCTCGTCATATAGGAAAGCCCACACTCACGTGATGAAGTCCAGAAAGCTGGCCAGGGGCTCATAGGCGTGATTCCTCATGTGGCGGAACTCCACCACCATCTTCTCCTTCAGCTTGTCATCGATGACGGACACGGTAAGAGGGGAGGCTTCGTTCGCCAGAAAGTTCCCATAGTCTGTGCTCTGGAGATGGAGCTTCAGATCTGGGGTGCCGGAAAGGGGGGGGGGGAGAAAAAAAAATAGAGGAAAATGCCAGACTGAAGGAACCACAGTGGGCCTAACAAGGTGGCCTAGTGACACCTGCTGGGCAGAGGGAGGCAGCTCGGCTTTGCTAATGTGCTGCACCTTGCGGGATGCGAGAAGTACAGCCCTTGGCTTGTTAAGTCAGACTTTTGCTCTGGAAAGAATCGAGGCACGCAGCACGCCCTTGAACTTTGCACCTTCTCTTAGGCTTGCGGCTGATGCCGATGCTTCGTCAGAGAAAACGACACAAATGTTCTTTAAAGTGTCTTTATTAGGTCACTGGAATGGGGTGGGGGGAAAGGAGAGACGCTGAACCAAATGCCTGAAACCTGCCAGACAGCATTTTGGGCCTAGGAGAGGCAAGCCAGACATGGGGCTGTTCTGAAATGCCATTCGCATGGTTCACTTCCCTGTCCTGCTAGCTAAAGCAGCCACTGAACTTTCCCTCTGGGATGTCCCACTGGCCTTCTAACCTCCTTTGTCCCCACCCAGCTCTCTGTTTCTATTACCTGGGCAAAAAAAAGAGGTCTACGGGCACATGCCCATGCATTCTGACACCAGGCCACTGAAGTTAATACATACACTTGCCTTTGTAATGGGGGAGACGACTGGCTACTTCCTGACATGGTCACTGGAATGGGGTGACTGCTTAAGAGCTCAAAGTGTTAAGGAAGAGTTCCATGCCCTTTTGGTCTCAATTGAAAAAGACAGCTTGGCTGACTTTTTTAAAAAGGAGGGAAAGTTGGTACCACTGTGAGCTTTGTTTCCGAGTGCTGTGAATAAGCCTAGTGCTGTAAGAGGAGGGTAGGGCCTTGAACCAGGAAACCTAGCACTCCTGAAAACATCCTACCAATGAGAGTGAACTCTCAAAGAGGAATAATTTGAGACGGGCAGCCATGCTGCAACAAAAGCAAACAGGAGCCTTGTGGCACCCTGAAGACAACAACATTTTATTCCACCATAAGTTGCAGTGGCTCAAGTGGTTAAAACACTGAACTGCAGGTTGTGAAGGTTGGTAGTTCAGCAGTTCGAGACCCGAGTGTGCCGCATGATGGAGTGAGTTCCCGTCTCTAGTTCCAGCTCCTGCCAACCCAGCGGTTCAAAAGCAAGAAATTGCAAGCAGATTGCAGTGGGAAGGTAACAGCGTTCCGTGCGCCTTGGTGTTTAGTCATGCCGGCCACATGACCACGGAAATGTCTTTGGACAGCGCTGGCTCTTCGGCTTTGAAACGGAGATGAGCACCGCAACCCTAGAGTCAGATCTGACTGGCTTTCGAGCAAGGGAACCTTTACCTTTTAAAGCTTTTGAGGCCTAGAGATCAGGTCTTCAAGATACAACAGATTTGACCCTGACCTGGATAGCCCAGGCAAGCCCAATCTCGTCAGATCACGAAAGCTAAGCAGGGTCAACTCTGGCAAGTATTTGGATGGGAGACCTCCTTGGAGCACCAGCAGTTGGGAGGTGGGGGCAGGGTCTTATTCAGCCACCTCTCTGAATATCCTCCAGGCCCCCAGTAGGGGTCAGTCACCAGAAGTCGCCAAGACTTCCAGGTGCACACACAGTCACCAGAGGTTGCCATGACTTCCGGGTGTGCACACACACAGGCGCGCACGCACACATTAATAATGTGCCATGGAATCCCATGTGGGGCTAGGCCATGGAATGCAAGAGGTAAAACCTGTGACACGTTTATGTAAGACTCAAATGTATGCCAGATCAGCCCAGTGACCAATCGCAACATGCTGGCATGTGACAACATGTACCATGCTAGAAGATGAGCCGGTGAACAAACCCTTGATGGTGAACAGCTGATGTTCCGAGAAGCTGGAATACTTGGATATGGGAACGACAACTGGCATCGGGGCTCAATGTAGTGCCTGCTCCCTGTCTCTGATGGGTGGCCCATGGCTGCAGGCAGGTAAGTGCTTTAAGGTAGGTAGGGCTGTCTATAAAGCCAGGAAAGCTTGGCCACTCCTGAGAAAGGGAAAATTTTCATTGTCGAGGGTGGGCAGCAGATCACGGGGGAAGCGCTGGAGCAGTCTGAGCTGGGGGCTATAAGTAGTGGCTTGCCCCGCTCTCTTTGGGGCTCTCTTGTAGCAGTCTGCCCCTGGGTACCAGGGCTGGCCTTGATTGGGTCTGTCCTTTGCTGGGTGGGTATTGCCCTTTGATGGATAGGAGACGCAGATTCTTTCGCTGAAACCCTGTCCGAGGAACTGGTACACGCTGCCACCTACTGGCTGTTTCCCCACTTAAAATGGCTGTCCGGCATCCACCAACCAGAATTTTCCCCATCACAGCTATGGTAGCTGCCACTGTATTGAACAAACTCCTTGAGGCGACAAGGGAAAAACCTTTGTTAGAAATCTTCAGGAGGCTCTGCAAGTATGTTTTATTCACCCGGGCTCTTAATGGGGTATAAACTGCAGGCATCTTTTTTGGGGAGGGGGGTTACCTGCAGTTTTATTCTATGGCCTTTAAGTTGCAATGTTTTAATTGGGACTTGTAAGTTTGGTGCCAGGTTGGTGTAGCGGTTAGAAGCGCGGACTCTAATCTGGGAGAACCGGGTTTGATTCCCCACTTCTCCACATGCAGCTGCTGGTGTGACCATGGGGCAATCAGTTCTCTCAGAGCTGTTCTATCAAGAGCAGTCCTCGAAAGAGCTCTCTCAGCTCCACCTACCTCACAGGGTGTCTGATGTGGGATGGAGAAGGGAAAGGAAATTGTAAGCCGCTCTGAGACACTGAGTGAAGGGTGGGGTATAAATCTAATCTCTTGCTCTTCAAAGTCACCTGGAGCTACAAGCAAATATCGAAATTAATGCTTGGGGGGGGTGCTCCTCAAGGCTTTGACTGTGAATCACAGGAGATAGTGGGATGGTCTTTCGCTCTGGGTAGCATCTGAACACATGTAATTGCCTTATACTGATTCAGACCCTAGGCCCATCAAAGTCAGTCTTATCTACTCTACCAGGCAACAGCTCCCCAGATCTCAGGCCTGAGGTCTTTCATATCACCTCCTACCTGATCCCTGGAGGTGCTGGGGATTGAACCTGGGACCTTCTGCATGCCAAGCAGAGGCTCTGCCACTGAGCCATGGCCCTTCCCCAACTGGAAACATGCAGACATATGTAGCTGTTTCTGATACCAGGTGGTGCTTAAGTGTCTACTATGCAGGGGCATACTAAGTGAGCCAGCAGCACAGACAGGCTTGGGAATGGGATGAAGCTGTTGAAATCCTAACGATATCTCTTCAAGTTTCCTCCACACAGACCGAAAGCATAAAGAAGTAGAAATGTCGCCTTGACCTGGATAGCCCAGGCAAGCGCAATCTTGTCAGATCTCGGAAGCTAAGCAGGGCCGACTCTGACAAGTACTTGGACGGGAGACCTCCTTGGAATACCAGCAGTCGGGAGGAGGGGCAGGCTTTATTCAGCCACTTCTGAGTATCCTCCAGGCCCCCAGTAGGGGTCAGTCACCAGAAGTCACCATGACTTCCAGGTGCACACACACTCATGCACATACACACACATATGAAAAATACAAAAGAAAACCCCCAAAAAGTAGAAATGTCAGTCATTAAGACAGTGGCATACAATGAATGCCTCTATTCACAGGAACATACAACAGTGTGTTGCCAGAGGCACTGCCTTTTACTCTTG